TCTTGCAGCCTTTTCCGCCGTCGTTGCTAGATCTTCCACGTATTTTCGTTTGTCAGCTCTGATGCTCTTCTTCACTTCCCTGATTGCTTCTGTGTATGTAGCTTGTGCGGTAACTTTCTCTGCTCTTGTTCGGCTGACATTGATTGCTGCCTTCTTGTTCCTCCTTTCTTCAATGTTTGCAAGAGTATCAACAGAGATCCATTCCTTATAATGCTGCTTCTTGCGACCAAGGACCTCCTGACATGTTGAAGTGATTGCCTCCTTAATCCCTTTCCAATTGTTCTCCACTGTTGCGTCCTCTCCATTGTGTAGATGCTGTAAAGCCCGGGACGTAATGGTGAGGGCTATCTTGAATTCGTTGAGCGTTACAGTATCCCGAAGAAAGGCCGTATTAAACTTGTGTGATGTTGTCTGTCCCGTTGTCCAGTGCTTCTTTAGTTTCAGTTTCATTTTGGCGATTAGCAAATAGTGATCTGAGGCTACATCAGCTCCTCTCCTGGTTCTCACATCCTCCATAGTCCTTCTGACGTTTTTGTTGATACAGATATGGTCAATTTGGTTTTGAGTAGTGTGATCCGGTGAAATCCATGTGGGTTTGTGCATGCGTTTGTGCGGGAATATTGTGCCATCGATGACCAGTTTGTTGAAGGCACATAAGTTTGCAAATCTCTCACCGTTTTCGTTTCTTCCTCCCAGTCCACGTCGTCCCATGATGTCTTCATATCCAGTGTTGTCCATTCCAACCTTGGCATTCAGGTCTCCCATAAGAATCGTCAAATCCTTTGGTGAACATTTATCGACGATTGACTGCAGCCTTTCGTAGAATTGATCTTTAACGTCGTCATTGTAGTCATTGGTAGGTGCATAACATTGGATGATGTTCATTGTAATGTCCTCTTTCTTTGTTTGAAGGATGCTTTAATGATCCTCGGTCCATGAGATTCCCATCCTATCAGTGCCTTTTGTGCTTGTTTGGACAACATCAGTGCAACTCCTTGTGTATGTGAAGCATTTTCCTCTTCATTACCAGAGTATAACAGCAGTTCCTCTGAAGCTAGTCTCAGTTGTCCTACTTGTTTCCAATGTGTTTCACTGATGCCAAGCACCTCGAGGTTGTATCTTCTCATTTCTGCCGCAACTTGAAATAGTCTTCCAGTCTCCCACAATGTACGAACGTTCCATGTACCTAAAAAAATGGTTGCTCTGGTTGTCAGAAGAGGCATCAGCCCCGTGAATTCCGAGGGAACTCGGCTTTCATCACGCGACGTCATAATTCTTCTTTCCAACTCTCAGGGCAGAGTTAAAATGGTTTGAATATTTTTTATGGTTAGCGTTTTTGGGCGAGTTAGTTTTTGACGGGTTCGGGTCGCCATCCCCATGTCCAACCCTCCTACTTTACCCGGGCTTGGGACCGGCAGTAGCCCCGAAGGTTCTACTGGCAGAGTTGGAGATAACCGCAGTCAATTATAAAAACCTGAAAGCATAACATCAACCATTAATGCATCCGAATTGTCTTTCATTTGTCACTAACTTGTTTACCGAACATTTTGGACACCTCCATCGTGGAGGATTAATTTAAAGTGATGTTATTCAGGTTACCCACGCGAGTACAAACAAAAGATAATCGGAAGAAAAGCAAAAATGATGCGAAATAATTTAATGCAAACAATACACTATTCATATAACGAAAAGAGACAATTTTTCAGTCTTGTCCATCAGCATGCGAAATATACATGTTAGGGTGGAATAAAAAATCTAAGCAACGGGTTTTGTTTTAATAGTTCGAGATTGGAGACGAAGCAAAAGTGAACGTTTTTAAAAGATGGAGTTCGATCAGCAATTAGATAGTATCTTTAAGGTCCTAGATAAGATTAATATCTATGTAGGGATGATAAAGTCGCGGATAGATTCAGAAAATATTACCAGTGAGTGAGATTTACCTCAGATTTTATTGCCTTTAGAGAGCAATGAAATGCCTTAAAATTTACAAAAGTGTGAACTACGTGATTATCAGATTTTGGGTTATAAATGGATAAATACTCTGTACAAAAACGGTATGAGTGGAATATTAGCCGATGAAATGGGGATAGGAAAAACAATACAAGTGAGTCATTTATCAGTTGACGAACTTAGGTTAGTTCGGAAAACTTTTTCGATGAAGAATTTCATTAGTCTCCAAAAGAACCACTTAGTAACTTTAGCAGGCTCATAGTTTTTTGTTTTCCTGTTACTCGAATTCCGAAAACATATTTACTGTTGTGGGTCTTCAAATACTTGATTTCTCTATAAGGTACAGCCTATACTCGACTTAAATGAATTAATTGGTAAGTTATTGTAGTATATTTATCAGTGATACGGATATCGATGCCAATTAGTTTTGGAAATTACTTACACCACTCTTTGTGTAACAGGTTGTGGAAGTTAATGACTCAGTGTGAAAATCTGTATTCAACAGGCATTTCGTCTTCAAGTTCGGGTCTCACCAAGACTGTGTATACTGACGTGAACATATTGGTATACAACTTGGTAAATATCCGTCTTACAGTCCATATGATTATGAACCCCTCAGATGCAGCTACACATCACTGAGCAGTAGTCTTAAGATCATGGTTTAATAATACCCCAAAAATCACTGTGAGACCGGGTTGTGGACATCGAATTTTCCCCAACTCTGTACCTATACATCTTCGTATCTCCAAGCTGAATGTAGACACACTCGGTTGCATAGATAGGCATCAGCTATGTTTTAGACCAGATAACCAGAATGTCGTAATCAGCTTGAAGTGCATTGCACAACCCGTTATTTCTCATCGAACGTTTATATCATAAACGTACAGCAGAATCGGTGATGATACTGAAGAGTTCGTTTACAAATGTTATAAGAAGTAAAGGACCACGAACAGAAGCTTGTTATACCTCATTAAATACTAGTTTCAAGGAAGTGCATTCAGAATTTATTCTTACTTTCTATCTTCGATCTACCAAAATCTTTGGTCCACTTCAGAAAGGGCCCAGTTTTAAGAGAAGTCTATTTTTCGGTACCGTATCAAATGTTTTGCTAAAGTTGATGCATATAATTTGTTTAAAATTTTATTTTGTAATTCATCCAATCCTGATTAATTCATGCCTAAAGTGCCTAGGACATTTATTGTGTTTTTTATTGTCTTAATAAAATTTTTAGGAAAAGTATTTGAAGTACAAATCGTGATTACGATAGTTAATCCAGCCAAATTGAACACGAAATGATAACGATTTCATGATGATGCTTCTGTTTACAATAGCCTTAAGCAATCTAGACACCTCCATGAACGACGGTTTTGCTACTCACTCGTCATTGTTCACATAGATTTACTTAAGTTTAAATATTATAAAAGTGTGCCAGTAACGTATCTACTATTTTACCTAACCGGTATTCGACCATTGATTCTCCTTCGTATGGACCATTATTTCACTATGCTGAGAATTTATGATGTATAGGATCTTCAGCCACTAGTTTTAAGTGGTTTAAAAACCAAAACTGGTATTTTTACACATTTGAAAAAATATTCGCTAAGAAAATTTTGGTTCAGAGATCTACAACCTTTTACCAACCTAGGTCGTTAGTCACTTATATCGATCTAACATCCAGTGCATTACATTACTTGATATGATCTCTCCTTTTCACTTAGTATACGTCTGTAGCATAATTGGATAATTTATTTAAATTGCTTGTTATTTCATATTCAGTCCGAAAAGTTCTCTTTAGTTAGTCCAACAAAAACAGTTTTGGAGACTTATAATAGAATACTTATTATAAGCTTACGGCTTATATATATTTATATTTCTTCTGAGATTCCTATTTGGATCAGCCTATCGTCGTAGACTCAATCTCTTATGAGATTGGTTTATATATTCTGCTACTCAGATTTACATCTTAAAAAGCAATCGTACATTACAAATCATTCTTATAACACCATCTCAAATCTAAAAAGTCTGTGGCACATACTAAACATTCTCAAGCTTTGTCTATAAATTTTTTCTCATAGCAAGACTATATTCAGGTTGTTCTTGACTGATCACGAGACTGCCTAACTAGAAACCAAATAAAAAAAGGATGGCGCTGTTTCGAATCCTTAGATAAATGCGCAAGTCTTATCTTCAGTGTAAACTTAAAATTAACATACAGATATTCTTTCAAAGTTAGAGTAGTCCGTTCAATCATGATCTAAAAATCAAATAGTTTAAAATGTCTTGTATATATAATGCATAAAGGGTTAGAGCAAGGATTTCATTTGTTTTATCTAACCACTGTTTTTATTTTTTTCAAAATTAATCTTTCACCCAATATTTATAGCATTATGCTGGTTTATATTTCCTTTTTCAACAATTGTTAGGTAATTGCCGGTCTAGCTAGTTTGATTGAATCAGGTGTTTCTGGTCCATTCTTGATTATTTCTCCTTTGTCTCTAATATCTGTATGGGCTGATCAGTTAGCAACGTTTGCACCCAGACTTCCATGCATAGTTTATTATGGAGCAATGAAGGAGCGTTTAGAACTTCAGAAGCAAATCCGTAGACGTGTGCACGTACCATCAGATGGACCTGACACCATTTCAGTCCCTAACCCCATCTGTCCACAATCTTCTGAAACATCATTATCTTCAAGTAGTAATACTGATGTCACATTATCAAATTCCGAGTCAGTTTTAGAAAACTCCATTGGATCACTTTCTAACAGTTCATCTTCTCTCCATAGTGACCCGTCGTTGCAAAAACACACACTAAACTATGTTGTAAATGATTTGAAAACCAGTGAATCAGAAAATATTTTTCTTGATAACATGGATGATGACACTTCAAAAGCACCACAATTTCTTGATGATAATAACGGTGAAATATTAACTAAGAAAGACAAATTATGCTTCACAACTAAAATAAATCCTCAAGATGAACATATAAACTTGAGATCACCAGTTGATGAAAAAATTTATAAAAATGAATTACTCACGACAATACATAATCGACAGGAGGATTATGTATTGTCGTGAGTAATTCATTTTTATAAATTTTTTCATCAACTGGTGATCTCAAGTTTATATGTTCATCTTGAGGATTTATTTTAGTTGTGAAGCATAATTTGTCTTTCTTAGTTAATATTTCACCGTTATTATCATCAAGAAATTGTGGTGCTTTTGAAGTGTCATCATCCATGTTATCAAGAAAAATATTTTCTGATTCACTGGTTTTCAAATCATTTACAACATAGTTTAGTGTGTGTTTTTGCAACGACGGGTCACTATGGAGAGAAGATGAACTGTTAGAAAGTGATCCAATGGAGTTTTCTAAAACTGACTCGGAATTTGATAATGTGACATCAGTATTACTACTTGAAGATAATGATGTTTCAGAAGATTGTGGACAGATGGGGTTAGGGACTGAAATGGTGTCAGGTCCATCTGATGGTACGTGCACACGTCTACGGATTTGCTTCTGAAGTTCTAAACGCTCCTTCATTGCTCCATAATAAACTATGCATGGAAGTCTGGGTGCAAACGTTGCTAACTGATCAGCCCATACAGATATTAGAGACAAAGGAGAAATAATCAAGAATGGACCAGAAACACCTGATTCAATCAAACTAGCTAGACCGGCAATTACCTAACAATTGTTGAAAAAGGAAATATAAACCAGCATAATGCTATAAATATTGGGTGAAAGATTAATTTTGAAAAAAATAAAAACAGTGGTTAGATAAAACAAATGAAATCCTTGCTCTAACCTTTATGCATTATATATACAAGACATTTTAAACTATTTTGATTTTTAGATCATGATTGAACGGACTACTCTAACTTTGAAAGAATATCTGTATGTTAATTTTAAGTTTGCACTGAAGATAAGACTTGCGCATTTATCTAAGGATTCGAAACAGCGCCATCCTTTTTTATTTGGTTTCTAGTTAGGCAGTCTCGTGATCAGTCAAGAACAACCTGAATATAGTCTTGCTATGAGAAAAAATTTATAGACAAAGCTTGAGAATGTTTAGTATGTGCCACAGACTTTTTAGATTTGAGATGGTGTTATAAGAATGATTTGTAATGTACGATTGCTTTTTAAGATGTAAATCTGAGTAGCAGAATATATAAACCAATCTCATAAGAGATTGAGTCTACGACGATAGGCTGATCCAAATAGGAATCTCAGAAGAAATATAAATATATATAAGCCGTAAGCTTATAATAAGTATTCTATTATAAGTCTCCAAAACTGTTTTTGTTGGACTAACTAAAGAGAACTTTTCGGACTGAATATGAAATAACAAGCAATTTAAATAAATTATCCAATTATGCTACAGACGTATACTAAGTGAAAAGGAGAGATCATATCAAGTAATGTAATGCACTGGATGTTAGATCGATATAAGTGACTAACGACCTAGGTTGGTAAAAGGTTGTAGATCTCTGAACCAAAATTTTCTTAGCGAATATTTTTCAAATGTGTAAAAATACCAGTTTTGGTTTTTAAACCACTTAAAACTAGTGGCTGAAGATCCTATACATCATAAATTCTCAGCATAGTGAAATAATGGTCCATACGAAGGAGAATCAATGGTCGAATACCGGTTAGGTAAAATAGTAGATACGTTACTGGCACACTTTTATAATATTTAAACTTAAGTAAATCTATGTGAACAATGACGAGTGAGTAGCAAAACCGTCGTTCATGGAGGTGTCTAGATTGCTTAAGGCTATTGTAAACAGAAGCATCATCATGAAATCGTTATCATTTCGTGTTCAATTTGGCTGGATTAACTATCGTAATCACGATTTGTACTTCAAATACTTTTCCTAAAAATTTTATTAAGACAATAAAAAACACAATAAATGTCCTAGGCACTTTAGGCATGAATTAATCAGGATTGGATGAATTACAAAATAAAATTTTAAACAAATTATATGCATCAACTTTAGCAAAACATTTGATACGGTACCGAAAAATAGACTTCTCTTAAAACTGGGCCCTTTCTGAAGTGGACCAAAGATTTTGGTAGATCGAAGATAGAAAGTAAGAATAAATTCTGAATGCACTTCCTTGAAACTAGTATTTAATGAGGTATAACAAGCCTCTGTTCATGGTCCTTTACTTCTTATAACATTTGTAAACGAACTCTTCAGTATCATCACCGATTCTGCTGTACGTTTATGATATAAACGTTCGATGAGAAATAACGGGTTGTGCAATGCACTTCAAGCTGATTACGACATTCTGGTTATCTGGTCTAAAACATAGCTGATGCCTATCTATGCAACCGAGTGTGTCTACATTCAGCTTGGAGATACGAAGATGTATAGGTACAGAGTTGGGGAAAATTCGATGTCCACAACCCGGTCTCACAGTGATTTTGGGGTATTATTAAACCATGATCTTAAGACTACTGCTCAGTGATGTGTAGCTGCATCTGAGGGGTTCATAATCATATGGACTGTAAGACGGATATTTACCAAGTTGTATACCAATATGTTCACGTCAGTATACACAGTCTTGGTGAGACCCGAACTTGAAGACGAAATGCCTGTTGAATACAGATTTTCACACTGAGTCATTAACTTCCACAACCTGTTACACAAAGAGTGGTGTAAGTAATTTCCAAAACTAAATGGCATCGATATCCGTATCACTGATAAATATACTACAATAACTTACCAATTAATTCATTTAAGTCGAGTATAGGCTGTACCTTATAGAGAAATCAAGTATTTGAAGACCCACAACAGTAAATGTTTTCGGAATTCGAGTAACAGGAAAACAAAAAACTATGAGCCTGCTAAAGTTACTAAGTGGTTCTTTTGGAGACTAATGAAATTCTTCATCGAAAAAGGTTTCCGAACTAACCTAAGTTCGTCAACTGATAAATGACTCACTTGTATTGTTTTTCCTAGTCCCATTTCATCGGCTAATATTCCACTCATACCGTTTTTGTACAGAGTATTTATCCATTTATAACCCAAAATCTGATAATCACGTAGTTCACACTTTTGTAAAGTTGAAGGCATTTCATTGCTCTCTAAAGGCAATAAAATCTGAGGTAAATCTCACTCACTGGTAATATTTTCTGAATCTATCCGCGACTTTATCATCCCTACATAGATATTAATCTTATCTAGGACCTTAAAGATACTATCTAATTGCTGACCGAACTCCATCTTTTAAAAACGTTCACTTTTGCTTCGTCTCCAATCTCGAACTATTAAAACAAAACCCGTTGCTTAGATTTTTTATTCCACCCTAACATGTATATTTCGCATGCTGATGGACAAGACTGAAAAATTGTCTCTTTTCGTTATATGAATAGTGTATTGTTTGCATTAAATTATTTCGCATCATTTTTGCTTTTCTTCCGATTATCTTTTGTTTGTACTCGCGTGGGTAACCTGAATAACATCACTTTAAATTAATCCTCCACGATGGAGGTGTCCAAAATGTTCGGTAAACAAGTTAGTGACAAATGAAAGACTATTCGGATGCATTAATGGTTGATGTTATGCTTTCTGGTTTTTATAATTGACTGCCGTTCTCTCCAACTCCGCCAGTAGAACCTTCGGGGCTACTGCCGGTCCCAAGCCCGGGTAAAGGAGGAGGGTTGGACATGGGGTTGGCGACCCCATTCCGTCAAAAACTAACTTGCCAAAAAAACGCTAACCAGAAAAAATAATTCAAACCATTTTAACTCTGCCCTGAGAGTTGGAAGAAGAATTATGACGTCTCGTGATGAAAGCCGAGTTCCCTCGGAAGTCACGGGGCTGATGCCTCTTCTGACAACCAGAGCAACCATTTTTCAGGTACATGGAACGTTCGTACATTGTGGCAGACTGGAAGACTATTTCAAGTTGCGGCAGAAATGAGAAGATACAACCTCGAGGTGCTCGGCATCAGTGAAACACATTGGACACAAGTAGGACAACTGAGACTAGCTTCAAGGGAACTGCTGTTATACTCTGGTCGTGAAGAGAAAAATGCTTCACATACACAAGGAGTTGCATTGATGCTGTCCAAACATGCACAAAAGGCACTGATAGGATGGGAATCTCATGGACCGAGGATCATTAAAGCATCCTTCAAAACAAAGAAAGCGGACATTACAATGAACGTCATCCAATGTTATGCACCTACCAATGACTACAATGACGACGTTAAATATCAATTCTACGAAAGGCTGCAGTCAATCGTCGATAAATGTTCACCAAAGGATTTGACGATTCTTATGGGAGACCTAAATGCCAAGGTTGGAATGGACAACACTGGATATGAAGACATCATGGGACGACATGGACTGGGAGAAAGAAACGAAAACGGTGAGAGATTTGCAAACCTATGTGCCTTCAACAAACTGGTCATCGGTGGCACAATATTCCCGCACAAACGCATTCACAAAGCCACATGGGTTTCACCGGATCACACTACACAAAACCAGATTGATCATATCTGTATCAACAAAACGTTCAGAAGGACTATGGAGGATGTGAGAACCAGGAGAGGAGCTGATGTAGCCTCAGATCACCATTTGCTAATCGCCAAAATGAAACTGAAACTAAAGAAGCACTGGACAACGGGACAGACAACATCACACAAGTTTAATACGGCCTTTCTTCGGGATACTGTAAAGCTCAACGAATTCAAGATAGCCCTCACCAATAGGTTCCAGGCCTTACAGGATCTACACAATGGAGAGGACGCAACATTGGAGAACAATTGGAAAGGGATTAAGGAGGCAATCACTTCAACATGTCAGGAGGTCCTTGGTCGCAAGAAGCAGCATCATAAGGAATGGATCTCTGTTGATACTCTTGCAAACATTGAAGAAAGGAGGAACAAGAAGGCAGCAATCAATGTCAGCCGAACAAGAGCAGAGAAAGTTACCGCACAAGCTGCATACACAGAAGCAAACAGGAAAGTGAAGAGGAGCATCAGAGCTGACAAACGAAAATACGTGGAAGATCTAGCAACGACGGCGGAAAAGGCTGCAAGAGACGGAAACTTGAGACAATTGTATGAAACTACAAAGAAGCTGGCCGAGGACTATCGTAAACCAGAACGACCAGTGAAAAGCAAAGAAGGCAAAGTAATCAGCAACACTGAACAACAGCGAAATAGGTGGGTAGAGTACTTTAAGGAACTCCTAAATCGACCAGCTCCACTGAAGACACCCAACATCGAAGCACCATCCACGGACCTCCCAATTAATATTGGCGCACCTA